CTTCTCATCTTCCTTTTCAGGGGTGTTTTAAACAAGCTTTGATCTACTTCCATCAATAAAACATGATCCTGCTTATTCGGATTTTCAGCGGCAGAATCAGCATCGTTCATCTGACTCACTGGAACCGACTCACTGTTCTCATTAGACTCATTTTCCACCGAATCTAACTGTTCAGTGACCTGTTCTTCAATGACATTTTTTCCATTTCTTATTTCGACTGCAGGCTCCTGATTTACCCCAACATCAGTAGAGCTTAATTTATCAGCCTCATTAGAATGAATCGTCTCACGCTGTACACCCGAAGGCCCCGGTTTATTGACATTCGTGTTCACGTTACCGGTCGGACAAGCACGAATCTGATGACCCGTCTTTCCACATCCAAAACACCTCATAGAGTCAGTCGACACAAATACTGTGTAATCAAAATCATCTATTCTGAATTTCAAATTCAGATCAAGTTCATTCCCATTGTTTAAAACCATGTAAGTAAATCTTCTAAAGGAAACAACATGTTTCAACAGTTCAGACTTGCTAGCAATAGCGATCTTCTTAACAGGTGAAACAAGTTTACCAAACCGCGAAAGTTCTCTTACCAACACTTCATCCTTGATAAAAGGTGGAACATTGGACAAAGTCACCTTTTTAGCTGGTGTGGACAGGGGGAGTACAGATGCAAATGAACCCCGCAATTCAATGCCCTTTACCACTACCTCATTTGCCTTTTCCACTGTGCTCAAAAAAAGTACAATTGCATTGTTCATCTTTGAAGCAGCCAAAACGCATGCATGCCCAATCACATTTCCAACAGCTAAACTACATTCCTCTGCAGTTCCCGCCGCCACGATTTTAACTCCATGCCGACGCGTGAGGGAATCTAAAACTCCACCTGTGTGAGCCGCCATGGTGTACGAAAACACCGGCGTAAAACGCCCTCAAACCAAATTTATCACCCAGTCGCAACACATACAATTTTAACAAAAACACACACAAACAAAAACACCTACAACATAAAAAATAGAAGTTTGAAAAAGAAGCCACAGCGGGCACAAACACAGCTCGCACTCACCACGCACTCCACACTCTCACCTTCGCTCGCACATGCGCACAGAGAGAGAGAGAGAGAGAGAGAGAGAGAGATGGAGTTGATTTTGAATGTATTATTCTTAATATTAACACAATCATTTACAATTATACACACACAGTGACAGAGTCTGTTCTGACAGAAATCAGAGTGTCATCACGCAAACTCAGTCATTCATCTAAATGTCTGACAGGGTTGATTGAAAATAAGATTGTTATTATACTGACATATTTGATTTACTCACCAGAGACTTTGACCCTGAATAAGTAAGTTCTGAGATTTCCTTCTTCAATTATGTATTGCATATAAATTCCAGCATCTGTGGATCTGATCCTCTTGATGGTCAGTGATCCGGTCTGATCATCCATCTCCAGTCTGCCTTTGAATATTACAGCAGCTAATGGTGAGATATTCTTAGTCCCTCCTCTGATTTCAGCTAACGGAGTGTATAGTCCAAACTTCCACAGGGTCTGTTCAACTTTCTGTATGTCAACACCCTCCAGAGTGACAGATTCTCCCTCCTCCACTGGCTTGTTCTCTATTTCATCTGGCTTATCTACACATACAGAGAAACACAGAACAGAAATCAGAAAAAGAAAACAAAGTAGTAAAAGCAACATGGATAAATTCCTCCATACCTAAACACCTAAGATGTACTCATTTAATAAATGAAATTAATGTAATTTCTCATTATATATACACAACTAAATTATGGTATGAATCTGTAATGTGTGTGTCGAACCAATCATATTCTCTGATTCATGTGTGATCATCAGAATCAAGTTTATTGATCAATTTTAATGCAAAATAATTAAAACATTAATCAATACTTTAAAATTTTAAAGTGATTTGAAATGAAACTGTGCCTTTATATACAGAATAATAGATCACATTATGCTTCAATACTTCTGCTGAAGACTGTGCTGTGCATATAAGAAGAAATAACCAAATTAAACCCATAGCTCTTCATTTAATCAATTCAGCTGATTTAAAATAAAATCATTATTACGTAAAAAAAATTGAGTTACTCACCAAAGACAGAAACTCTGAATCTCTGAGTCTTTCCCGATCTCATAATCAGTAGTTCATAAACTCCAGAGTCTGTGGTTCTGGTGTGTGTGATGGTCAGAGATCCAGTCTGATCGTCCAGCTTTAGTCTGCCTTTAAATCTCCCATTAGGAACATTATCATGTACAGTGAAACCTTCAGCAAAGCTTTTCCTTTCAGCAATACAAGAGCCTCTAATTATCCAGAATAATTTGTCATCTTCATATACTTTAGTATCATCAGGGTTTAGAGTGATAGATTCTCCTTCAATCACTGACACTATACTCCCTTTATCAGTCCCTTCACATCAGCAAACAGAAACAGAGAAACACAGAACAGACATTAGCTGGAGAAGAAAAGCAATAAAAGCAGAGAGGAATAAAATCATCATGATCATTCGCTCCACGTCTGACTCCTGCTCAATGACTGATCATTAAACCTGTAAACACTGAATCACTCACAGCACAAGACAATATAAACTAACACATTATCTGATATACTTCAACATTATTCATAATTGTGTTTTTACCTGTGTGTTTTGTGTTATATTCATCATTAAGTGCTTCTTTTTTAAAGAAAAGTATCTGCTAAATGTGTAAATGTGTTTCATGTTGAGTAGTCAGAGGAGGCTTTATTTATTTATTTTCCCTATGATTTTAATCACAGGTTCTGTTTGATATGGTTGTTTATTATATTAGCATCTGTGACACCCTGAAGCTATTGCTCTGTATTTACATTTAAATATACCTATATCTTTTCTATTAAGAGTTTCCATCTCAGTATGAAAAGCATCACAGATTACTCTGAGCTGGTTTAAGAAGACCTTTGACCCTGACCAGATGAAGAGTGCACATGATCTGTGTGAAAGCAGCAAAACACCAGTCAGGAGACCAGATCATTATGATTGAGACACGTCTGAATGGGGACATTGCACAGAAGTCAAGCTAGTTATAAATACTGTGATTTAACCCAAACCCACAAACACAAACCCTAACAGAAAACTTCATGCATTTTAAATAGTTTGGACTAGCTATAGATGTTATTCAATCTGCGTCATCAATGTTTGCAGCGGCTATATTGTTGACTTAGAAACCACGGCAACTGTCAGTCTGTCAATTGACAAGCGAGGCAGCGTCGGTATTATCCATGGTATTATCACTGTGTTGTTGTTTTTTTTAAACAGCGTGATGGTGTGTTGTGTAATACACGGCTGTTCTAACAACAGCAATAAGAACCCCGGAGTTAGTTTTTATGATTGTGATAAGTTACCGACTGTCAGAAAACTTGAAGGGAAGGAGACAGAGTTGAGCCAGCGCAGGAGAGGCTAGCTAGGATAAATAGGCTAAACTTTCAGCCAACTTCCCACAGAAAAGTCTGTTCCCATAATTTTTCCACAGGTTTCACACATAATCCGTGTGCAATGCGTGTGCGGTGCGTATACAGTACAGAAGCAGGACGCGCAATACTTTATATGCTGCGTTTGCAGTGCGTAACTGATCCGCGGCTGTTTAAATATCCGGATAAGTCACGGCTGGCAATAAGGACGGATCTTTACTTAAGCTTGATTGGTGTGGACCCACATCAAATAATAGCATTATCTTCTCTTGATACCGACGAGATGAAGCCAGGCTACTGCTCCCCTCAACTCAAATCTGCGCGCGGCTAGGGGCAGCAGGACAGATATCATGTCAACAATATGGCCGCGGTCAGCTACTTCCGGTGTTTGCCAATAAGGTCTATACAATTCATTTCATTGCCACACGACAATAAAATAGACGTTTAAAGTTGTAAAAAATGCATTCAGAGCCCTTCATTCTAAAACAAAACCACAATCAGTGCGCTTTAATATCTGTGTATTGATTATGTTTCTTTCTAACCCTGCTTTTATGTGAAAACTACAACACAACACACACATATAAATGTAAAACGTTTTAAACATGATTATGAACAAACATTTTACACTTAATCTCTACTGTAGCACAATAAAGCTCAGTATTTCTCTTGCTTTATCAGCTGTAATACTCACATGCTTTCAGATCAGAGATCTTGTGGCGCTGGTAAATCACAGTTGCAGCTGCAAACACCAGTAGAACAGCAACAACAACAACGATCGCTGCTTTAGCAGCTGTAGACAGACCTGTATCTGTAATGATAAAGAGAGAGTCATCAGTGTGAGTGAATCTGTCAGTCTAATCTATTTAAATATGAATCTGATTCTGTTAAAGGTGAATCATAAATGAGACTCTAATGTAATTTCAGATATCATGATTCTCCTTTTCACTGTTCATCTTCTGGATCACTGTTTTACAGCAGGAGTTTGATGTGAACACACGACTGATATCAATGAAAATATTACAAACAGTAATTCAGATTAAACAGTTTAAAAACCTTCAGAAACATGCCAACAGTGTTAAAGCATTTACTGCACATATCATGAGCTCTGACATTTTATTTTCTCAGTTAGGAGTCTGAAAAAATTACAAATACTTGTATTAAAAATAAGAGAAAACATACAAATGCTTGCAATTTTGGTTTGATCATTAGAGTAATGAATTTTATCAATGTTATCAATCATTTAAATAGAACTAAAATGTCTCAAGAATGAAATGAGACATTGTTAGTTCAAATAATAATATTCAAATATTATCAAATAATAATATTCAAATAATATCTTGTAGTAATTTGAAGCAAAATCTTCCAAACGACTAATAAATTATAACAATCTTAAACAGTTCAAGATACAGAGTTTATTTTTAACTATTTAAATTCACTTTAAATTAGTGCTAACTTGTGTTCATTTAACTTCAGGGTTTTTCTCAGAGCTCTTAACTCAATGGGATCATCATCGTATTGGCAGAAACGATCTACTCACCAGTGACAGTAACAGTGATTCTCCTGTGTATAGTGCGTCTGCTGCTGCTGATCTTCAGTTCATAGAGTCCAGAGTCTGTGAATCTGGTGTTTGTGATGGTCAGAGATCCAGTCTGATGATCCAGCTTCAGTCTGTCATGAGGACCATGAGATGTGGAGAATCGATCGTCTGCTTTATAGATTTCAGCTATTTGAGAGTCTCCAAACATCCACTGCATTAAATCATCTTTCTGTATTTCAGTGAGACTAGAGTTTAGAGAGACAGATTCTCCCTCCATCACTGATAGTGTTGAATTCACTTCACCTGTAACACCAAACACATGAAGAACACAGATAACCACATGAAGAACACAGATAACCACATGAAGAACACAGATAACCACATGAAGAACAGAGATAAACACATGAAGAACACAGATAACCACATGAAGAACAGAGATAAACACATGAAGAACAGAGATAAACACATGAAGAACAGAGATAAACACATGAAGAACACAGATAACCACATGAAGAACACAGATAAACACATGAAGAACACAGATAAACACATGAAGAACACAGATAAACACATGAAGAACACAGATAAACACATGAAGAACACAGATAAACACATGAAGAACAGAGATAAACACATGAAGAACACAGATAAACACATGAAGAACAGAGATAAACACATGAAGAACACAGATAACCACATGAAGAACACAGATAAACACATGAAGAACACAGATAAACACATGAAGAACAGAGATAACCACATGAAGAACACAGATAAACACATGAAGAACAGAGATAAACACATGAAGAACACAGATAAACACATGAAGAACACAGATAAACACATGAAGAACACAGATAAACACATGAAGAACACAGATAAACACATGAAGAACAGATATAAACACATGAAGAACACAGATAAACACATGAAGAACACAGATAAACACATGAAGAACAGAGATAAACACATGAAGAACACAGATAAACACATGAAGAACAGAGATAAACACATGAAGAACAGATATAAACACATGAAGAACACAGATAAACACATGAAGAACACAGATAAACACATGAAGAACACAGATAACCACATGAAGAACACAGATAAACACATGAAGAACAGAGATAAACACATGAAGAACACAGATAAACACATGAAGAACACAGATAAACACATGAAGAACAGAGATAAACACATGAAGAACACAGATAACCACATGAAGAACACAGATAAACACATGAAGAACACAGATAAACACATGAAGAACAGAGATAAACACATGAAGAACACAGATAAACACATGAAGAACAGAGATAAACACATGAAGAAAAGATATAAACACATGAAGAACACAGATAAACACATGAAGAACACAGATAAACACATGAAGAACACAGATAAACACATGAAGAACAGAGATAAACACATGAAGAACACAGATAAACACATGAAGAACAGAGATAAACACATGAAGAACACAGATAAACACATGAAGAACACAGATAAACACATGAAGAACAGAGATAAACACATGAAGAACACAGATAAACACATGAAGAACAGATATAAACACATGAAGAACACAGATAACCACATGAAGAACACAGATAAACACATGAAGAACAGAGATAAACACATGAAGAACAGATATAAACACATGAAGAACACAGATAAACACATGAAGAACAGATAAACACATGAAGAACAGAGATAAACACATGAAGAACAGAGATAAACACATGAAGAACAGATATAAACACATGAAGAACACAGATAAACACATGAAGAACACAGATAAACACATGAAGAACAGAGATAAACACATGAAGAACACAGATAACCACATGAAGAACAGATATAAACACATGAAGAACAGAGATAAACACATGAAGAACACAGATAAACACATGAAGAACACAGATAAACACATGAAGAACAGAGATAAACACATGAAGAACACAGATAACCACATGAAGAACAGATATAAACACATGAATAACACAGATAAACACATGAAGAAAAGAGATAAACACATGAAGAACAGATATAAACACATGAAGAACAGAGATAAACACATGAAGAACACAGAAAAACACATGAAGTAAAGAGATAAACACATGAAGAACACAGAAAAACACATGAAGTAAAGAGATAAACACATGAAGAACAGAGATGAACACATGAAGAACAGAGATAAACACATGAAGAAAAGAGATAAACACATGAAGAACAGATATAAACACATGAAGAACAGAGATAAACACATGAAGAACACAGATAAACACATGAAGAACACAGATAAACACATGAAGAACAGAGATAAACACATGAAGAACAGAGATAAACACATGAAGAACAGATATAAACACATGAAGAACACAGATAAACACATGAAGAACACAGATAAACACATGAAGAACAGAGATAAACACATGAAGAACACAGATAAACACATGAAGAACAGAGATAAACACATGAAGAACACAGATAAACACATGAAGAACACAGATAAACACATGAAGAACAGAGATAAACACATGAAGAACACAGATAAACACATGAAGAACAGATATAAACACATGAAGAACACAGATAAACACATGAAGAACAGAGATAAACACATGAAGAACAGATATAAACACATGAAGAACACAGATAAACACATGAAGAACAGAGATAAACACATGAAGAACACAGATAACCACATGAAGAACAGAGATAAACACATGAAGAACAGAGATAAACACATGAAGAACACAGATAAACACATGAAGAACAGAGATAAACACATGAAGAACAGAGATAAACACATGAAGAACAGATATAAACACATGAAGAACACAGATAAACACATGAAGAACAGAGATAAACACATGAAGAACACAGATAAACACATGAAGAACAGAGTTAAACACATGAAGAACACAGATAAACACATGAAGAACACAGATAAACACATGAAGAACAGAGATAAACACATGAAGAACAGATATAAACACATGAAGAACACAGATAAACACATGAAGAACAGATATAAACACATGAAGAACACAGATAAACACATGAAGAACAGAGATAAACACATGAAGAACAGAGATAAACACACGAAGAACAGAGATAAACACATGAAGAACACAGATAAACACATGAAGAACACAGATAAACACATGAAGAAAAGAGATAAACACATGAAGAACAGAGATAAACACATGAAGAACACAGATAAACACATGAAGAACAGAGATAAACACATGAAGAACACAGATAAACACATGAAGAACAGAGATAAACACATGAAGAACACAGATAAACACATGAAGAACAGAGATAAACACATGAAGAACACAGATAAACACATGAAGAACACAGATAAACACATGAAGAACAGAGATAAACACATGAAGAACACAGATAAACACATGAAGAACAGATATAAACACATGAAGAACACAGATAACCACATGAAGAACACAGATAAACACATGAAGAACAGAGATAAACACATGAAGAACAGATATAAACACATGAAGAACAGAGATAAACACATGAAGAACACAGATAACCACATGAAGAACAGAGATAAACACATGAAGAACAGAGATAAACACATGAAGAACACAGATAAACACATGAAGAACAGAGATAAACACATGAAGAACACAGATAAACACATGAAGAACAGAGATAAACACATGAAGAACAGAGATAAACACATGAAGAACAGATATAAACACATGAAGAACACAGATAAACACATGAAGAACAGAGATAAACACATGAAGAACAGAGATAAACACATGAAGAACAGAGATAAACACATGAAGAACACAGATAAACACATGAAGAACAGAGATAAACACATGAAGAACACAGATAAACACATGAAGAACACAGATAAACACATGAAGAACAGAGATAAACACATGAAGAACAGAGATAAACACATGAAGAACAGAGATAAACACATGAAGAACACAGATAAACACATGAAGAACAGAGATAAACACATGAAGAACAGAGATAAACACATGAAGAACACAGATAAACACATGAAGAACAGAGATAAACACATGAAGAACACAGATAAACACATGAAGAACACAGATAAACACATGAAGAACAGAGATAAACACATGAAGAACAGAGATAAACACATGAAGAACACAGATAAACACATGAAGAACAGAGATAAACACATGAAGAACACAGATAAACACATGAAGAACAGAGATAACCACATGAAGAACACAGATAACCACATGAAGAACAGAGATAAACACATGAAGAACAGAGATAAACACATGAAGAACAGAGATAAACACATGAAGAACAGAGATAAACACATGAAGAACAGAGATAAACACATGAAGAACAGAGATAAACACATGAAGAACACAGATAAACACATGAAGAACAGAGATAAACACATGAAGAACACAGATAAACACATGAAGAACAGAGATAAACACATGAAGAACAGAGATAAACACATGAAGAACAGAGATAAACACATGAAGAACAGAGATAAACACATGAAGAACAGATATAAACACATGAAGAACACAGATAAACACATGAAGAACAGATATAAACACATGAAGAACACAGATAAACACATGAAGAACAGAGATAAACACATGAAGAACAGAGATAAACACATGAAGAACAAAGATAAACACATGAAGAACAGAGATAAACACATGAAGAACAGAGATAAACACATGAAGAACAGAGATAAACACATGAAGAACACAGATAACCACATGAAGAACAGATATAAACACATGAAGAACACAGATAAACACATGAAGAACAGAGATAAACACATGAAGAACAGAGATAAACACATGAAGAACAGAGATAAACACATGAAGAACAGAGATAAACACATGAAGAACACAGATAACCACATGAAGAACAGAGATAAACACATGAAGAACACAGATAAACACATGAAGAACACAGATAAACACATGAAGAACAGAGATAAACACATGAAGAACACAGATAAACACATGAAGAACAGAGATAAACACATGAAGAACACAGATAAACACATGAAGAACAGAGATAAACACAAGCTCCTACAGAAAGTCAGTTAACACATCTCACAATAATAAAGCTCAATTAAATCAGAGTTAAAGTTTAATTACTACAACGAACCTTCACTAGTCAAAAAGGCACATTTAAGTCTAATAGGACATTTCCTGGGACAGAAAATGAAAAAGAAGAGAGAAACGTGTTTATATGATGAAATGATAGTAGAAGGGAACATAAGTTCACATACTAAACACCCC